CATAAACATCACAACAGTCATGAGACAAGTCTGGACATAACCTGGTTAAAGATGAAAGAAAGGAGAGTGAATCTCTCTCAGGTGAAATTGGGTGACCTCTGCAAGAGATTAGTCCATTAGCAAAAACGGGAGAGCCCCCACTCGCTTGACAAGTAATACCAGCTGTGACACCGAGCGCTCTCGGCCTGTTCAGGAGAGGATGATGGGGGTGGTGGGGGAAGGGTGGAGACGAGGGAGGGAACAAAAAAACAGATGCAGGCTGTTTGTTCTAAGACTAATTCAGGGCTCTGGCTTGCAGTTCTATCCGCCTGCAGCCGTGGCTCGGCCTTTAACGATGAAGCCCCCGGAGCTGTCGCTTTTTCATCTGTTCAGATATAATAAACACAGGGCTGATTTTTATTAGAAGTATTGATGCAGTTTTTATTGCAAATCCAAAAACTCAATAAACCCTTTCAGTCAGACTGCACCCGTGCGCAGATTGGCAAAGAGTCACAAATATGCCTGTTCTCTAACAACTTGAGAGAACTTTTTCAACCCAGCTGTTGGCGAAGAACACATGTTTTGACCTTCACGGTGAGTCTGCTACACATGCAGCAGTATGGACGGCAATAAAGCCCGACCTCGTTACCAACTCGGTGCACTCTCCTTCTTCCTCAAACACATGGCACTGTTGCAGCACAGCACAGGAAAAACATCTTAAAGGGCCTTTGATGTTGTAAATGAACACCACGTAGCACCTAACAGTCAAGCTCAGGTGACTGAGAGAAAACCATTCTCCAACGCAGTGTGACGCGGTGGAAGAGAGTACAGTGAGATCAACCTCTCCGTCCTTTCTGCTGCCCAAAGCAGAGCTCTGAGCTCTATCCTGGCTGAGTAGTGTGAACATGGCGAGGCTACCTGTTGGTCTCCCAGAGCAGACAACAAGACCTGCAGGAAGGCACAAACATCTTCTGTGCATTAAACGCAGGCAACAAAACTAAGACTAAGAGGTCTCTTTAAACAAGCAGTCTTTGTCCTTGTTTTCGTGTTTTTTCCTCCACGATCCATTGAAGAAAAATGATCTTTTCTTCAAAGCATATTTTAAAATTGCCACATAATGCCAAATTGCTGCACTCACATCACACAAAGAGCCACATTTCTTTGCTGTAACTTAGAAGCATGCACTTGTACATCCAATTACAAGTGCCCACATCCAAAATGAGTCCTGCCCTATGTGTAATTACTGGATGGAGCGCCAGGAAGAGCTTTCCCCCCCACACAACAGGCAGCAGCACATAATTACATTAAATTAGAAGGGGTGTAAATGCAGAATCATTATTCTCAACAGAATGTGTTAACAGGAGAGGAAGATAAACATGAGGAGCATCATGATGACATCATGGTATGACTGGGCAATGATGACTAGCTCACTGCCTCTCCCATCATGGGTGGCACAGTGGCCAGCATTTCATGTCACATAAACAGTTTGGACACAGACAATTCACTTTTTATAGACATGAGCAAGAATTTCTAACAGCAGCCTACTATTGTGAACGGAGTTACAAGAAACTACTCGGTCTTATTTATTTATAGTGATTTAAGAAGATATTTGAAAAACGAATTTAAAAGTACATTTATTCATAATTTAACATAACTGCCCAGAAGAAAAGTGTGCATTGTATGTTGTTTATAAACTACCACAAACAGCAATAAGAGAGTTATTTAGCTTATTGTGCAGTTTTTCAAAAAGAGAGGCACTGATTTACAAGAAACCGATATCTAATCCATACAAACGGAGCAGCCATGACCAGGAACAGACACTATACTGCAGCTCATTAAGGGACACACCGGTGTGATCCAGGCATCAATAACTCGGGCTGAAGTTTGGGTAACACCTGCGTGTGACAGCCGGGACTTTCCCCTCTTTGCTACCTGCGCACACGGCGCGAACACCACCGCTGCCGGTCAATGGCACAATACAGCTTACCTTGGCTGAGCAGCGCGCTGACGAGGAGGGCGCACACGCAGTTGGCACACAACAAGTGCATCCTTGCAGGTCTCTGGCGTTCCCGCTGGGCTCAGGCTGTTTCAGAGGTCTGTTCAAAAACCACTTGGCTGAGTTTTCTGCAGGTGGGTGAAGTAAAATGGTCTTCTCGAGCTCCTCGTTGCCGGAAAGACAGTTTGGTTCAGTTTTGGCTCTTCTCCCAACGTGGCATGTGCTCGCCAACTGGCGCTCACATCAGCTCTGGTGGAACAGGTAATTTCGAGAGGCACGCAGACGAGCGCGAGACCATCTGTGGCTATAAACAAACAAGAAATGAGGTCACAGACAATAACAGGAAGCTCAGAAAACAAAATATTACACACACACACACACACACACACACTTTTTGTCTTTCCATGCATATGAGGACACAAATGCTGGTGCACACACACGCACAGCTCCCTGTTTTCATCATCACTTGTGGGGACTTTACATAATCACTATTTGCCTAACCCAAACCCACACCCTATCCTTAAACCAAGGCATCACTCCCAAGTTCAGCAGTCTGCCCCACACTGTGAGTGGACTCCTGGTTTGGGGTTTGGTCAAAGCATGCAAATGGGGAAAACTTCAGTAAAGCACCTCCTCAGACTTGTTTCATGCAGAATATCCAGTGGAATACTGCTAACTCGTGTTAGCAGTAAAATGTTCTTCTGGTCTTCTGACAGTGATTTTTTTTTACAGTGAAATTGGTGGCTGGTTAATCAGCAGAATGTGAAAGTCACTGTTTCACTGAGTCCAAGGTGACATTTTCAGTCCTGCTGACAGTCCAAAACCTAAAGATATTCAATTTACAATGATTCAAAAAACAGAAAAGCAGCAAAACCTCACATAGAACCAAGTCAATTCTTATTTCTGCTTGTATACAAGTAATCAATTACATTAATAGTGAGGACCCCTCAAAACAGGAAAATGTTCTGAATCTTTGCAGTTTTCAGGGATTTTGATTGTCTGCATCAGCTGATCGATTGCATTCCTCCTCAGTTCAATGCCAGATCAATGTCAAAAATGTATTGTACTGTATGATCAAGCGAGACCAGAATGGAGTTAAGATTTCTTGAAATGTTAACATTTAGATTTTATTAGCTTTTAACGGATAACAGTGAAAACTGTGAGGAACCTGAATCAGCTCAGTAACACACAACTACAGTATCATATAAATGCAGAGAAGTAAAACAGTACCACACATCCACCTGAAATGTGGTAAAAATAGACGTATCCCCAGACGGAAGGAGCCCAAACCTCAAACCTGTGCAAGCACAATGCTTGTGTGTTTGCTTTCCACCTCTGCTGCCTGCAACATGCGCTTTCACACACACCTCCTAATGCAGAAACACATATGCACACATGTGCAGAAGCAGGCTTTCAATCATTACCCGCCCTAGACTTGTTTCATGTAATAAACAACACAGCGTACGACTCTGTCATTTGTCTCGCAGGCACAAGACAGAACATTCACGGTACAGCAGGCTACAGGGTGTGGGTCTAAGGTTAATCATAATGAAGTCGTTTTCACATAAATAATTTAGACACAATTAATTATTAAAAATCCTTGCTCATATGTCCTTATTTTTCAATTATTTTACTGAGCACATTAAAGAGCAACACCACAGTAATTCCTCCCCATATAATTAAGATGCTAATAATTAGAATGAATGTGAGGCGATGACTTGTGCTTATTTCTGGCTCTCTGTATTTGGTTATATTTACTTATATGGCATGTCATGGATTCACTTACGGTTTCTCATGTAGTGACAGATAGATTGTAACTATAGATGAGGGCTGTTCTCTGTAGAAGTACCACGATCTAAAACCAGCATAACAGTGGACAGTTTCAGAAGTTGATAAAAATAACATCAGAGCATGTAAAATGTCATTAAAACCACACTTGCTGCAAATAAAATGATTTACCACTGTGCTGTAACTGCATGATCATGCTTGTCTGATCACAAAATATGTGCAGCTGCATATGCGCGCAGCGTGTGTTGGGCTGGGGGGGAAATCGACTAGGGTGAAGGAGTAAGTATTCCTCACCCTGGGTGTGAAATTCATGTAAGTCTGTGATGGTTTGTGCAAATGGAGTGAGGGCACGGGCTGTGAAAACCTAATGCAATTTGATTAGAAGTTAACTGCAAAGCAATATTTTTCCTGCCTCAGTGCACCAAGAGAAAAAAAAGAACTATTTGCTCTTTTTCCAGGTGAGTGAAAGTGAATGAGACTGATGACCAAGCCTGGAGCATGGTCTTCATTTTCCAAACAGTAACATAACTCGGTCATAATTGGGATTTCGGGTGAGGCTGGTCAGGGACTAACTATCGAAATCCACAACAACAAAAAAAGAACAGCCCTAAAAACTCTACAGTAAGCCTGTGAGCTGGTTATGCTAAAACTTCATGTCATGCTTTTTTTTTTCAAGTGGAATGAATGCAGCTTGCAGCTCAAGTTGATTTTGTATTCACAAGAGAGCATTCTCAGTCAGTCCCCATGACTGGAGAAAGAGATTACACACAGAATAATGAATTACAATATATCATGTCAGAGTAGAGGAACTGTACCAGCTCCTGCTGTCTTTTATTTGATGAAAGAATGAGTGCTCCTGTTTTGACATCTTCTGAGACATCTTGTGACACAGCTCTTGCTATGAGCATGGAAACAAACAACCTTGTGTTGCTATGGACTCAGGCAATGAAAATACACACTTTTGACAGCCAGGGATACTGCAGACAGAAAATCTTTGTTTCTTTCTCCACTGACTTATGTTGTAGGTCCACAATAATTATCATAGGTGTGTTTGAAGTGTCAAAATAATTAAATTCCACTTTGTCACACCAAATGCAACAGTCCCAGTAACCAGAACTGGCAGTGTGGCATGGGTTACCCAGTGAGCAGGATGCTCCTCATTTCCTCTCACTTCTTGTTTGCATTCCTTCATTTTCACCTTGTCGAAATCAAAAAGATGGCACACGTTAATTTGGCCCCTCATCAAGTTTTGCAAAATTATGTTGTGGAGGGTTCGGCCCCTTCAGCGCTGCTCCTGGGAAGCAAACGAGTGATTAGGCTCCTACAGACTGGGCTTCAGTCAAGCAGCGAACATAGTGACCCTGGCATTTTCAGCCTGACCGAGGGAGGGGAAGATCCGCTTAATGGCCAGTCCTGTGCCAGCCAGCAGCCCCACTTTGGATCAATAATTGCTTCATTAGCTAATCTGATTGAGTGTGTGAGCAGCATGTAGTCGATGCAGAGTTACCTCTCTTTCTGTGAGGAGTCTGTGTCTTATTGATTTTATTCTTCTCTGAAGACCCCAACTTTCACCCCCCCAACAAATCCTCACATTTACACAAAGAAAAGGAGACTAGATCTCTTTGTTTAAGCTCCTTGCTCTATCCATACCTCACGTATATTAAAGCCAATCAATAGAAACGGACCCTTGATAGCAACAGTAAAACAAATGAAACCAAACAGCATGTGCGACATTGCCAGATTGTTGTGTTTCTGATGGTCTGAAAGGGCAACAGTGCAAGGTATACTGAGCATACACACAATCTTATGTAGCCTAGAACAAACATTTGTGTTTAGTACAGTAGCTACTGATGTTAACCGTGACTTTCTTTCTTTACAAACTCTCAACTAAAACTGATTATTTATTATAAGCCAGGTAGAAAAAAATTGTGCAGCTTCTCGTTTGTGCTATCACACTTGCATTTAACTGATATTTTGGCCTCTTGGGACGGTGCAACAACATGTAAACACAACCGTGATATATTATCAGCTATTAATTATATGATGAACTTGTTATCAAACCGTTTCTTGTCTACACATGTAGCTGTTATGGAGTAACATTGGTGTTCATTTAAAGTTGTGTTTTCATCCACCTAACAAATATAAGTTCAGTACCCATTCCTCTTTTAGCTTGGTTTTGGCCTCCACCAGCTCTTGAGGGATATTATGTGGCTTACTGACTAAATGTACTCTGTTTGCCAGCTAGCCGCTAACTTTGCTGATTTTAGATAATTCTGCTGAGAAAAATGCCTCATTTGGGAAACAAAGCTGATGAAAGTGCAGAAAATGAACCAAAAAGAGTAAAATTATGGGCCAATGAGGTGAAGTACATCTCAACACAATAAAATTGATCAGCACTGTAGAGTCTGGTGATAATTCTCTTTAGATTCACTACAACAACTCCTTTCACATTACATGAGGCACTGCAATCCATCATTGTAATCCATTATTATCATAAAAATACTGATTGTAGCAACTTAAATTATTTTTTTCTATTTATTTATTTATTTTAACACAAAAGCATTTCCTTCTTAACAGGGTAAAATCCGGTGTCCTAGGAAGTTGAAGTATGTAGATACAATGAACTTATCACAACAAGGTTGACTGGGGCTTCAAAGCCACGGTGTGTTGTTGGCTTTTACATAATCCATTCTTTCTGCGTCTTTCATGGTTCTTTAACATTCTATTGTCAAATTTATTAATAATAGAAACGTAGCAGTGTGACTGGAACCTACTGCATAAAAACGGAGGCAAAAAGTGGCTCTGAACAAATGTAGAGTTTGAAAATGAACTCAGAAGACACTTTCATTTGAACCCATTACACGAACAAGAGAAATGGCCTGATTTTGGCCACCTATCATGAAAGGTAACAAATATCTATAAAAATATGTACAATTATAATTTGCCCTTCTGCCACTGGTGCAGATTAAGCCTTTAATCTTTTGTTACACTGGTGCAATAATACCTTCTGATTGAATATCTTATACATATTTCTCTAGTTTAATATCATAATGTGTTTCTCATCATAACATGTGAGGTTTTAATCATGCCTCCTGTTCGTTGATCCCGTATTATGCAACTGACTTGCATGTCTGTCCCAATTTAGTGAGACAAATTCTTTGTAAAAGCTTTGTGGTTGGTGATCAAAAGCAGTTCCTACAGGCCTCCAACCTGTTAGAAAGATGCTACAAAGAAGCTATCGCAATTTTCACAGCAGCAGCAGATGAGTGAATTCCTCAAACAGAGAGATGAATTTATTTAATCATCAAATTACACAGATTACACTTAGGCAGTAGACTAAACAAGGCACTTTCCTATGTATGAAACGATTACATTATTCTGACATTTCAATGGAGGCACACAAGCTTATTCAATATTTACATCAAGACTTCAGTGATGATTTTGATTTTGAAAAATATAATTTGTTTGTGATCATGAACACATTTCTGTGTTTCAGCTA